CAAAACCCTCAGGGGTAACCAGGGTAACAGCTATACACCAGCAAGTCGTGGGCGTAGTAGAGTCGGGTCCAGTCGACTGATGGAGTCCAGCGCGCGCAGATCGTCGTCAATATCGGTGCTGTGGGCGCTGCGCCTGCCACGAAGTCTGCACTTCGAGAAACCTGCAAACGAGCCACATGTCCAAAAGTCACGACTCACTGCACCTGTCACGAAATCTGAGCTCCTCGACGATCACCACCACGTCCATGCAAAGTGCTGCGCCTGCCACGAATCTTGCAGTTCGAAGTAAAACGAGGTTTCCCTTGCGCCTGCCAGGAAAAGTGACCGCCGTGTGCGAAAATACGCACGGCGCCACAACGAGAGCGCAGTCGTAGAAGCACCCGCCGCGGCCACCCAGATTCAGCGAGCCTGCGCAGTCGAAATGCACTTTGAGGATTTCGAGAGGCATGAATGTACTGTAAATAGCAGCGAATTAGCTGGACACGCGCGGGCGGCACACCGATCTAAGCACAGCTGCTTTTCCCTCGCCGTAAGAACCCCTAAGTGTGTCCACACTGTTTGGGGAAAAATATTCTCTTGGCTGTGCTTCACAATAGATGAAATAGATTGAAACAGTATTTCGGCAGAAATCTATGTTGCACCAAGTCAAAGCCTGCACTGCGTTAGGCCCAAAATGACCAACATATCAAGAGACAGCCTGTAGCGTCAGGCATTGAAACCTGACAAGACACAGCTCTTCATGACTCTGTGTCGCTCTCCCTCCCTCTCTCTCACTTTTTGTTTTTTTCTCTCTCTCTCTCTCACTTAAAGATCCAGCAATTGTCAAGCGACTGTCCAAACTTTGCAATGTCAAGGGCTTTTTCTACGTGTTTCTCACTGGTCAAGCAAAGGCCACTGCAGGTAACACCGTCTGCAAAATACTGGACGTTGACATGAACCTAAACACTGGCGGGATGACAGCTGTGCATGGGCTTGTAGTGTATACACGTTTGAATCTGTGGCAATATTGGCCATGGACTTCTTGGCGTGAAAGCATCGGATGGTCAAAGCAATGAGATCTCGAGATGTGCGGGAAAGCGCAATGAGGTGGAACGTCTTGACTTCGCTCATCACCAGCTGAAACTGCGACGGCAACTACCGAAGCGGAAAAAGGGCAAGACTACGTTCATACGTTCATAAGATGTGAACCGTGCAAGCGGCTTCACCCACTTCAAAGTCAAAACTTGGACACGTCATGGTGGCAAACTGATTGAAGTTTTGACCCATGCTGGCGTTTGCCTTTGACGTGTCCAACGGATGAATGATAACCTTCGGGTAGTCTCCGGTGTACCTTGCGCAAAAGGAATGTCACAATGCGTAAAACCGGTTCCTAGAAAAATTCACCATGAGGTCACTCAGCATAAATTTCCCTGCTTTCTCGGTCTTAGCATTCAGCAATCACCCCAAATGCAAAGCGCGATTTGCACGTTTAGTCTTTGTCTTGTCTTACCAAATCAAACTCAGAAACACACTTTGACTGTAGCCTCCTTGCACAGGTGCTACCTTGGACTCTGACTTGTTTACCTTTCAAACCAAACTGACGATTTGTCAAGCTAAGCTCGGAGACTCTTACGCCTTCAGTGGATACTTGGATGCTCAAGTCCTCAATTGCAGGGCAAATGCAAGCGTCAAATCACATTCGTATTATTTGTGTGTTCAACATGGAACACGGCATCCATACCTTTGATGTGCACTCAAGGGTCGGGATTTGCTGGTTCGATCCGGCAAGGTGTTTGCAACTATAGGATTAATGTTTGATGGCTTGTGCATTGCGTCTTTTGGCATGTGCGAAACTGTGAGGCGGAAATATGCTTTGCTGGCGTTTATAGGGCTCGGGAACCCAGTTGTGATCTTTGGAATTGTATGGATATGCTTAGTAAATCTGTGTTGCAGGTGCTGAAGCTGCGACCCTTTTGCTATGAAAGGGTGTGAGGGATACTTCGGGCACCGAACCCGATTGCCGTGTGGGGAAATGCGCCTTCAGGCACCGTGAAGGTTTGGGCCATTAGTAGCGTGCCCCCTAGTAGCGTCTCCTAGTAGCGTCCTCGCTCCTAGTAGCGATGCCAGGAGCCCCTAGTAGCGTCCTTGCACCTAGCAATGCCAGGAGCCCCTAGTAGCTCCTAGTAGCGATGGCAGGAGCCCCTGGGCCCCTAGTAGCGTCCTTGCTCCTAGTAGCGATGCCGGGAGCCCCTAGTAGCGTCCTTGCTCCTAGTAGCGATGCCAGGAGCCCCCCTAGTAGCGTCCTTGCTCCTAGTAGCGATGCCAGGAGCCCCTAGTAGCGTGCTTGCTCCTAGTAGCGATGCCAGGAGCTCCTAGTAGCGTCCTTGTTCCTAGTGCGATGCCAGGAGCCCCTAGTAGCGTCCTTGCTCCTAGTAGCGATGCCAGGAGCCCCTGGTAGCGTCCTTGCGCCAGGAGCGTAGTAGCGATGCCAGGAGCCCCGAGTAGCGTCCTTGCTCCTAGTAGCGATGCCAGGAGCCCTAGTAGCGTCCTTGCTCCTAGTAGCAATGCCAGGAGCCCCTAGTAGCGTCCTTGCTCCTAGTAGTAGCAGCGTCTTAGTAGCGATGCCAGGAGCCCCTAGTAGCGATGCCAGGAGTAGCGATGCCTGGAACCCCTAGTAGCAGCGTCCTAGCAGCGATGCCAGGAGCCCCTAGCGTCCTTGCTCCTAGTAGCGATGCCAGGAGCGCCTGCTAGCGTCCTTGCTCCTAGCGATGCCAGGAGCCCCTAGTAGCGTCCTTGCTCCTAGTAGGTAGCGATGCCAGGAGCTCCTGGTAGCGATGCCAGGAACCCCGAGTAGCGTCCTTGCTCCTAGTAGCGATGCCAGGAGCCCCTACTAGCATCCTTGCTCCTAGCGATGCCAGGAGCCCCTAGTAGCGATGCCAGGAGCTGCTAGTAG